TCTCAATAGTTTATGAATTATTGAGCAAAATAATATACACTATCAAAAATAAGCAGTACGGTGACCTTCTTAAATATTAAGCTGGCACAGTGGATTAGAGGTAATGTTATCAGCTGGCGATCTGGATGACTGAATAAGAAAAGAGCTGGCAGCGTAAGGGTTAAAAGAATAGAAATTCCTATTTTTACAAGCACTTGCTTGGTCAAGGAATATCATGATTTACGAAGATAGATTCTGTATTTAAAAATTCAAGTATTGACTCTTAGGGCTTGGCTAGGCCCATGCCATGATGAGCCTAGGTTTCAGGCCACTTTTATGAGATTTATTTTTTACCTTCAGCGTTCTACTAGCCGGCGCAAAAAGCTTAATAGACGGGGATTGTGATGGCAGCTGGCTTAAAATGACACCCCTGTAATACTGTATACAACGTAGTGTAAATTTAAATTGTTGGTAAAATTGCTCTAATTGTATCAGGTCTAGAAGTAAGCACCTGTTTCAACCTGACCCAGAATGCATGCAATTACAATAATAGTAAATAAGTGTAGTTAATATAATTTTCAACTGACGTATTGAAAACCGAGATATTATGATTAATAATGAAGTGGAGTGGAATAGGTTAGAGGTTAAGATGCTTGCCTTCTAATCCCAGAGACTTCACTGAGAAAAGCATCATATTATTTCATTCATTTATTTAAAGAGGGCCCCTGAATATCAGCCAACCTTCTAGGATACACTGGAAGGGTCACCCTCTATAAATATAGTTTAAAAAAAAAAAAAAAAATGCTTCCACACCTACTATATTATGGCAATACAATTGCTCCAGTGTTTGGTAAATCAATCCAATTGTTTACATCTAAGCTAAAACTTTGGAGCATAATAAGTTATAATGTGAGCACTTATATGAATAAATCATAAATATTGAGATTGAAAGACTTACCTTCATCCATGATTCGTTTATTGTCAACAATCAGAAAATAAGCTATGCGCAACTGGTCGTGTGGGTCTCCAGACAGAATTGCACTCTGAACTTCCTGCTCTTTCACTTGGAATTTCTAAACAAAGCAAACGTATTTCCATATTTACACTTAATTCATACAAAAATATATAATTCTACAAAATCTCCGACACCTAATATCACCAAACACCAATCAGCCATGATAAAATCATTAGCAAATATATAAATATCATCCCTTGTGATAAGTTCTCTTTTGGCTTATCATCCAGCATAATTTAAGAAAATTAACATCTTGAGTATTTGGTATAGGTTAAGATATCTGCTGATGCAATCTTATTTTGGTACCTTTCTGTTTGTTTTTGCAGGACCTGATGAAATTGTTATTGACGAACAGTACAGAGTATTGCTTAACAGTATTACAAAACTAATTGATTAATAGAAGATACCTAATATATTCATTAGATAATAGATTCTATTCTGAATTTGAATCATTCACTTTTATTTAAATTCGTCTTCTTTCCTAACAGCTCTCAGCACAAAAAAAATTTACCTCACAAACATCCCTAATAGCATCAGCATCCATAACATTATCATCCAAGGCATTGTTTGGAAACAGGTAGGCTGGTACATCTACTGTGAACCATTCATGCTCTCTGCGGAAATGACAAATGTTGTTAATCAGTTGGAATAAACGATATGTGTAATGCTACACTCCCCAGAAAGTGGAGCAGTGGCAGATTAGCCTACCATCTTTCAACTGGTCGCAAACCGATGCACCTTAGGGTGTGTTTCTACTGATAAACACAAAATATAAATATAGATAAATAGATTTTTTTTAAACCGCTTTTTTAATGAGTACCAGACAGCCTGATCCCGTTCAAACTGCATTTTTTATTTTTCGATAATCGGTTTTCGTGACGGAAATTACGTCACCATTTTGTTTATACAACATGTTGTTTTCCTAACTGTATAGGATAGTACCTTTCTCATTCCAGTCATGATGACGAGGAGTAAGATACGGTGTGGGGCGAGAAGGCAAATGTTTTCGGCTGTGCTCATCGGCACAATGAACGAGCGACCAAACGAGGACAACGGTAGGCCCAAAAGAGCGGAGAGGCCTAGGCCCAATATCCCCCCACAAAATAATTACAAAACAAATTCTTTGCTCCACATATTCGTTGACATTTTTAGCTTGTAGGCCTAGGACATGAAGAGGACAAATTTTTTTGAAAGTTCGCACCTAATACAATCTAGTCTTTGCCATGATTGATCTGGAGGTCACATTTCACCTGATAATCGCTTTTTTTGTGTTGCAGCTAAAAGGTGCACAGCCAAAATCAGTTATTTGCCATTCAAACACGCTATCCATTGCTTGTTTTTAATCAATTTTTGATTAGGGAAAAACCGTTTTTGGGACAAGTATCACTGAACAAGCATTAAACTGCATCTATTCAAATATACATTTGAAGTGCTCAATAATAGTACTGACAGTCTCTACCCAATAATGTCAAAAACATTAGAGCTTCCTGCGGCCCACAGTGCTTCTACATTAATTTGGACCAGTAACTACTTAGGTCCATGTTCACCCCTGGAGTAGAGGTACCAGTATGTCAATTTATAGATCTGATGACCAGGAGTAATTAAGTTTCATATTTATTTTTATTGACTTTATTCATTTAGGCACACGGGCAAAGGACTGCCAGTACATGAAACAGCTGTGGTAACAGCTGATGATACTTATGACTTCATCATTTATTATTAAAAACAAAACCCATATCTTACCTAATTTCATTGATTGTTGCACGTTTCAATGGGTCAACCTGAAGCATGCTAGTAATGAGACTAACAACTGGTGATCTTGAGATATGTTCAGGAATGGCAAACACACCGCCCTTAATCTTACGGAACAATGTGGGCACGTGGTCATCGTCAAAGGGAAGCTAAAGAATACACAAAGTTTTAGTATTTCAACATTTATAAACAAATAACAAGCAAGCATAAGTGGCTATTTGTATATGTGTTTCATAGTCTGTTGGTTAAAATCATCAGTTATTTTTTATGAGTTTCAGAGTTCATATATTAATTACAATTATTTAGCAACCCTACAAAACAAGAATAAAATAAAGGATGAATCCATATTTGAATATACAACTTACAGTGCCACACAACAGAGCATAAAGAACAACACCACAACTCCAGACATCTACCTCAGGACCAGCATACAATCTGCACGATACAATTAATAAAATAATATAGTACAATACAAAACAACCCATACCAACTAATCAGCTACCTAGTACGGCAACTTAATTGTAACATGAAGTTAGACAATGGTGGGAAGCAAAGGTATCACAAATGAGTTTGGCAAATTTGGAAGAATGTGGGATGTCCACAATTCTCAAGATGACCAGGTGGTGGTGTCATTGGGCAATGAACTCGCTCTTTCCATCCAGAAGTAGCTCATAGTCTATGAATGACAATGTGGAGTTAAGTTATGTGTTTGATCCAATTATTGGGAGAAAATAAAGTACATAGGCCTCCACAGGGTCACTACAATAAAACATACAATTTTATCATTAAAGCCCCATTCCCGGCAAAATTTCAATTTTTAAGAAAAATCTAATTTTTGTATAATGTTATAAAGATTTATAAATATAATACGGAATTGCTAGTTTAACTGAATTTAGACATTCCTAAGAAT